GCATGGTAAATCCTAGTATCCTTTATGTTATAAATTATTATTTGTAGTTATTGCATCTCATATTATTTATATCAATATTTTTTAAGGTAAGGAGTTAGGTCGGGACCTAAATCCTTACAAATTGTTAGTGAGAACTCATTGACGGACGGATGGCTCATTCATCGATACAAGATACAATATGGATTATGATAAGTGTTTTATTTTTTAGTTGTACATATGTCAATTTAATCTAAAAATTAAATTTATAATTTAATATTATAATTTTTACAATTACACGGGAGCATGTGGACTGAATGTATGAGATAACTGCTAGCCAAGCGCTAGAACGTTCTTCATCATTGTCGGATGTCAAAATAGCCTAGATATATCTTAAGGCTATATGAGGGAGAAGAAATATAGAGTATATGGCATCGGATCATATACATTTCAATATTATTCTCATTCTAACTACAATTCATCCTTTTCCACATTGCGGTTTCATAATGGTATGCAATAGGATGATGAGCAATAACGATAACAATTTCGGGCAAAAATAAAGCTTGATCGGGCTTAATGGCTCTAAGTGATCTAAGAGGAATACAAGCGGAATACCGACTTCTCCGATAAAAGCGAGTAGGAGGTGGTACAATAGATGTTGATGATGCGATGAATCGTTAGGAGAGATGCGGACTTGCATTAACTTGCCTTTCCCTCCTCCTAACCCTCATTTATCTACAAGTCATCGGATGATGATGATGTCGAGACCTCCCATATATACTCTCTCGATCGGACTAGCTTTTTTAGGCTTAATTTTTTATCATTTTCATACACTCGAGAGTCTTTGTATATATTTCATTTGATGTTATATTATTTTTATTTTACACAATAATATTTTATGTTATAATTTCTTTTTTAGTTATTTGCTACTATAATTAAACATTAAACGACTAATAATGAATTGGAAAAAAATTATATTTTAGTCATTAGCAATGGATCAATAATCGATTAACGATGAAAAAAAATATTAAATTAGATCAACTACCGACGGACAATTACAAAATTTGTCGATAGATTACCAACCACTAGTGATGGATTAGCGACGAAAAATTTGTCCATGGAATTTTTCATCGATATAGTCAATCGGATTTACGATGGATAAGTCGTCGCTATATTCAATCACATTAACTATGAAGGTACTTCATTATAGACACGAGCGTGTCCGTCCCTAATGTAATGACAGAATGTAATTTTCTTCACTAAAATAATTAGCGACAATTGTTTTACCTATAGTCTAGTTTTGCCATCATTTTGTTGCTAAAAGCTTAATATTTTATAGTGTGGTATTCATGGAAAAAGGTTTCTTCTCTCCAAAATGAGCGTTATGAAGGTTCCCCTACCATTAATGTTAGTAAGACGAAAGAAGAATTTTTTCAAGAAGTTATAGGTGAAGAACATAATGGTAGAGTTAGAGGACTAGGCTTGGGTCCAACACCAATTTTATTCTTTGATTTACAATCTCAACTTGAAAGTAGTCTAAACGATGCATCCGAAAATCAATCAAGTGAAGTAGAAGAAATAAAAGAGCGAGTTCCATACAACATAAATCAAATATCATGCAATGTAATCTAGATATAATGCAATAAATACCACATTAACTACTATGACTGCTTTCATTGCGAGAGAGATATCCTGGATGGAATTTAATGCCTAATTTGTTGAATTCTACTTAGGTATCTTATATATTTTAATAAAAAATTTAACATATTTGTCCTTCTCAAAATGTATTTTATGATTTTTTTTTTTTTTTTTGTAAATATATAGATTAAATATGGGTTCTACTTAATTTTACTTATATTTTTTTCACTTTGAAATTGTGCTTCTAATAGGTTCCTAATGATGACAATAGTCAAAATGCTATTTCTCCTAATTGCTCATCGCAATCAAGTCATAAGCTAAAATGAAGCATTTTCTATAAAAATATAAGTGTTGCTTTTTGTCAACTTTAGCCACTTACTTTAAGGCATATTAGTAACTTTGCTTAGGTATTTTGAACAAATGTTTAATACTTAAGTATTTTTTTCTTGTAGATGTTTAAAGACTTTTTATGTATTTAGAATTTGATAATTACAAATTTAACCTATATAATTTTCTTTAATTTGTATTCAACAAGGTGCAATTTTTTTTATTTGTTTTTGACAAAAAAAATGAAGTAAATAATTGAATTTAGAGATTAAATAAAACTAAAACGCTTGAGATGGTTACATAATCACCTTTATAAATTATTAAGTTGGAGGCGGTTTTATCCGGCCAAAATATTTTCTACTAAAATTTTAGAAAATCTAGAAATTTAGAGGCGATTATCAACCGCCACACAAATTTTGCGCTAAAAAATAAAAAATAACACAATTGACATTCTAGGAGTGGTTTCAATCGCCTCGTAAAATCATTTTACGGTGGTTAAACAGTCGCAAAATAACCTCCTCACAATTCCCTAACGATTAGGAAAACAACCTCTACAACTCAAAGATAACGACATTCTAAGTAGTTTTGAGGTGGCTCATGTAAAAATTGGCATAATCACTTCTCTAAAAAAAAAAAAAAAAAAAAAAACAGCCTACAATGCCCTATTTTGGTACTGTGCATGTTGAAAAACACTATATGCATGAAGAAAATTTTGGTTCCGAGAATCTAACTCTAAAGAGTACAGGCTTCTAGATGTTCTTTTAATTTATAAATTTAATATGTATCAAATAATTAAAATTATTGTTTAGTCAGGGTTATACATTCTTTTTATTTTATTATTTACTTAACATCATATTTATCAAATGGAAATAATATAAATTATTTATTTGTTTGAATAAGATCAAGTATATATAATTTTCTTGGCATAAATTTAAATTTTAAAATGTTTGTCTTTATTATTTTCTAAAAAATAAAATGAAACTAGTTCTTTATTTTATTTTATTTTTTTTGCATTAGGTTATATTTATTTAGCACTAACCTGTTTCATAATTCAAAGAAAAAGAAGAAGAAGAAGATTAACTTATTCAAATTCACTACATGCAATTATGCAATAAAGAAATATTTGGTTGTGAGAAACTAACTATAAAGAGTAAAGGCTTCTAGAAGTTCTTTTATGTCAATAAATTTCAATATATGGTATGCATGCCATTCACTGTGATCTTTCATAATGAGATTTTTCTTAGAAAGGAATTTTTTATTGTAGTTTATCATGCATGCTCTAATAGCGAATATTGAACAAAATTTTAAGAGAGACAGAAATATGATTGAAGTATAAAGTTATTGTTTGTTTTAACAATTAATGCCAATCTTGGAATATATATATGTATATTAACAAAGATAAAAAGATAAGTTGGCTATTCTATATTTTACGACATGCATGTGAAACATTGAGTCTATATAAGACTATTTTTCTTTTTCCTGAAAATACTTTTGTCGCATCTATATTGGAATCCAAACTTAAATTTTTTATAAAAATAGTTATGATTATATATACACATAAATATATCAACAACTAAAAACATCGGTAATTGAGATTTTAATTCTTTTATCTTTAGAAAGATTGTCGTGTATTGGAGAGTATATATGAATTCTTCTTACAATACATGGCACGAGAGTTTTGTTGTAATTGAATTAGACACGAGGCATATTATGTTTGGTTTTTCCTTTGTTTTTCTTTTCTTACGTTCCTTTCTAAGAATCTTCCTACATGAACTATCGATTGCTGTTTGAAAAGTGGAGTAACGCATGGATTCTTACTCAATTGCGCTGTGCTGACGTACACCAATAATCACTCCATGATGTTAGGAATTGATTTTGGGTTTAATATTCATTATCGCAGGCGTGATTCCATGCTCATTGTAATTCCGCCTGTGGACTTTTCACATGGAAAATTTCCTGGTGTGGTTCCTATACGGTGGCCACCCTCCCCATGGCAGCCTTTCACTGGTCATCAAAAATTCACAAGCCGTGTACGTTCAAGCCACACGTAAAGAACCTTTCCTTTATGCAAAGCCGTTAACTGGCGACCTCTTTTTTTTTTAAATTGTTTTTCAAAGTCAAAAAGACCTTTCTCTCCAAATTTAAACGAGGCAAAAGTTGGTGACTAGCTAACATGCATATGTTACTTAGTTGCTCATTCGATTTTATCAGAAGGAAAAGAAAAAAAAGAAAAAAAGAAAAGAGGTACAATAATAATTTCATATGATATTTTTATTAAAAAAATATATTATTGAATTAAGAGATCGATTTATTTAATTTAATGCGGGAGATTTTTCTAGAATGACCACACCCAAAAAAAAAAAAAAAAAAAAAAAAACCTAGTTGTATCTTGTTAGAGACAGCAACAGCCTGTTTTTGAATGTTACACGTAGTAATGTTTTTCAATCTTTGAAGGCGACGGTATCAATGTTGAAAGATAGAAAAAGTCGTAGTGATTTTTAAACGATGATCTAGAAAGCCACCGTCAAACAATTGGGTCGCACCACATATTTAAGCCAACTATCGTCTCATCTTCTAAGTTCCACCTCTCTCTCTCTAGCTACTTCCCCCTGTCTTTCCCTCTCTCAGAAGTCATCAAATTTGATGTCTTTCTTGAACTTCTGCATCAATTCTTGATTGCCTTTGCTTTAAAGGTTCCCCATCTTCGTTAGTGTGTCAGAGTAATTTCTCTTCCTCCTATTTTAGTAGCTTTTAATTTACACAAACTCTCTAACAAACAACTCTACTTATCATCATATTTTTTGTTTGGTCATCTCTACTAGCTAGTACTATCTATAACAAACGTTTGTTTGATACTGTTATTCACAATATTATGTAGATATCATCATTTTTTTTTCCAACTGACATCCCTTGTGCTCAAAGAAAAGAACTGCTTATTGGATCAGTAAAAGAACAACTTTGGAGCCTTCGTTAGCAAGACTGGTAGCTCGATCCTATTTACTTCTTTCGGTTTATTGAACTCTTTTCTTTCATACATCAAATTAAAGCAACCGATTACCATGAAGGGTAAAACTCAAAACCAGAATTTGGGCAGAACATTTACAAAGCTATTCAATGCCCAGTTGCAGCTCATCAATGTCCTTTCTTTTTTCTTTTTGTTTGGCTGTGGTCTTGCTACTGGGGTCATTCTTAGTTCCTATCTCAAAAACGTATCATTCAACCTACATGTCAGCCAATTCTCTGTTTCTACCACTACCACAACAACAATACCATTACCAACATTTAAGTTGCCTCGCGTAGGCTTGAAAGAATATTTGAAGGTGCCAGATGTCAAGCATGATATGGATGAAAAGGAATTGCTGTGGAGAGCTTCAATGACGCCAAAGATACGAGAGTTTCCATTTGATAGAGCTCCGAAGGTTGCTTTTATGTTTTTGACAAAAGGTCCAGTTTTGATGGCTCCGCTGTGGGAGAAATTCTTCAAGGGCCATGAAGGGTTATACTCAATTTATGTGCATTCAAGTCCGTCTTACAATGAATCAGAGCCAGAAAGCCCTGCGTTTCATGGCAGAAGAATTCCCAGTGAGGTCAGTTAATTGCATAATTTCTTGAGATTTAATCATGTGAACTTAGCATAAGTATTTTGATCCTTAGAATCCATATATATTGGCCTACATGATCAGCATTAATTCTATTGCACAAATTAGTACTTGATAATTGATATTTTATTTTTTCTTAATAGTAACACTTGATTGATTAATGCCTTAGTTTGATTTTTATTTAAAAAAAATTAAAAGAAAAAGAAAAGGAAGAAGAAGAATTAGAAGACTTAGGATAGTCAAACATGCGTGAGAAACTGCATAAGGTGTGTCGTAGAAAAGATAAAATGCCGCCTTTTGTGTCTCGCAGTGGACTGGAAATGGAGATACATTTCTCCACTCAATGCAGGTGTATGAACAATTGACATTTAGCTAAAAGAAGGTCATGCCAATCTCAACGAACACTTCTTTCTAAAGCAAGATCTCAACCACCACAAGTTTGTACGCGTATATATGTCAAATTAAGCATATTAAATGATCACACACGGCGGCGTGTACATCAACGTTCTAGATATGATCAGTTCCTAACCATTTTAAGTAGAGTGGAACCCATGTATACTTTTGGTCGGTGACATGTTGTTTGTTGTTCATGGGCTTTATGAGAAGTAGAACTTTCATGAATTCTTTAGTTTCAATATGAATAGTTTGTTTTTAATTGAAATAAATTGATAAACTTAATATCAATGCACAAAAACTAATCCAAAAATACTCACACTCCGAATTAGAGAGGAGCTTGGCGTAAAAAAATTAATTAAGGCAAAAAAAAAAAAAAAACAAGGTAAAGGAAAGATCTACTTGTCTGCATGAATTATTATAGTGCGTTTTCTTGACATTCTGTAGCACAGTTTCTATAGTTCTGTTTTGTTAATTATTGATACTTAATTTCCTGTTTACCTGGCATAATGCAGGAAGTTAGATGGGGAAATGCAAACATGATTGAAGCTGAAAGACGACTATTAGCTAATGCACTCCTTGACATTGCTAACCAACGCTTCGTTCTTCTCTCAGAATCATGCATTCCAATCTTCAACTTTTCCACTGTCTACACTTACCTAATAAACTCAACCAAAAATCATGTGGAGTCCTATGTTTTAGATGGTCCAGTGGGTAATGGCCGATATAGTCCTCATATGAGACCTGGGATCAGAATCGAACAATGGAGAAAAGGCTCACAATGGTTCGAAATAGATCGAGACCTTGCCGTTGAAGTTGTCTCGGATAAAAAATATTTCCCCCTATTCCAGAAGTACTGTAAGGGACAATGTTATGCTGATGAACATTATTTACCAACATTTATCGCTATGAAGCACTCGGAGAGGAATACAAATAGGACTTTGACGTGGGTTGACTGGTCAAGAGGAGGGCCTCATCCTGCTAGGTTTTTAAGAACAGAGGTGACCGTTGAGTTCTTGGAGAGGATGAGGAATGGCAGCAAATGTGTGTATAATGGGAATAGCACCAACACTTGTTTCTTGTTTGCAAGAAAATTCTGGCCTAATGCTTTAGATAGGCTACTGAGATATGCGCCCAAAGTCATGCATTTCAACCAATAGGTTTATAGAATAATTTCATTCTTTATTCATGTGTATAAATGTTGCATATTCCCTCTCAAGTGATTAGAGTTTAGAGCTCTTGGGTTCTTTATCCTTTCATGTTACAAGATGTATACGTGGAAGCTCTTAGTTTTTTTCATTACATGTATTTACATGTACTCAACTTCAATAGTTTTAATCCTAATTATCAGAAGCACTGAATTTTATTTCTGTTGCTCTAATTTTGTTACTAATTCATTGTTCTTCTGAGTTTGATGAATATTGTTGATACCATATAGTAGCGAAGGTGAAATCAAAACCTGTCGGGTTGGTTAGCACAGGGGAAAAGGAAAGTAGACATCGTAATGAAAAATCTATCAGAAAAATTCATAATCATCTGCTAATTTGTTTGTTGAATGTTCCTAATAAAATCACAGTTCAATCAATGGTTGCTGGTTAAGTTTACCAAACTCTGGGGGACTCAAAGCAGTACTGCCGCCTGCTCTTTTCTCTTTCTAGAATCTTTCTTGCTTTCACGAAAAATGCAGTTAATCATTTTGGGAAAATTAACATCAAAATGACTGGCTACCGTCTCCAAGATTTCGTCACGTAATCAGGTGGCCTTTTCCTCTGAATATTGAAGTCCAAATGAATTGTAATCCTTTGAACTGAGCTACCACAATAGTAAGTGATCCTGTTAAGAAGATGACAACTATATACCTAACACCTTAGCTATATTCTACTGAATTTCTACCATGTTATCATTCTGATTACCAAGATGAAAGCGGGATCAATAAATGGAGCATTGTCAAAAAACACTTACCACAAGTGAGCCATATTGACTGTAAAATAAACAGTTACATGTTTACGGCCAAAATGGCCGGCAGCCCAATATTATTCATGATGAGGAAAAAGGGCAATCAAAATCAAATATTTATCTTACTGCTTTGCAAAATCCAGCTCTAAATTTTGGAGTCCTAGATGCAACCTGATAATGGCTGTCTCTCAGGATTAAAATTAGGTCTCAAATGCAGTCTTATAAGCCAAGCCATCATACCATTAGCAGAATAAAATGGTTAAATTAAAGTACACATTCCATAATGATTAAAAATTAAGATTCTTAGTGGTTAAAAGAAATGAAAAAAATTCAAGATTCTTCGTCCTTGATAAACCAACACATTATATAACAATTAAATACTCTCGTTCATGAATATTTTATGCACATGAACATGGCAATCACTTTGAGATTAGAGGACACTATTGATTAAAGAAATTCTGGGGTTGGATATCTGTTGATCAATTTCATGATTACGAAAACATGATTGGTAAAACAAATTTCGTCAACTCTTAGCCAATCTTCTAGCATAAACGGCCAAAAGGGAAACATGTCCTCCAATTCACTGAACCTCGCAAAAATAAAAACACCGTATAGCTAAACTCAAGTAATGCAGGAAAACAAAACCCACCATGATTTACATCAAACCCAATACTCTTAGTTTACAGGTGAATAAACTGCTGCTTCTCTCCTTCCATCCAGTACTACACCACATTGTTCTATCACTGGCTAACTCCACAAGTGTCCTCAGACAAGCAAGGTGAATCAGACACGGAGTCGAAGGTCTCATGACATGGAGATACTTCGACCCCACGTATCTCGTCAATCATCTTCACCACGTGGCCCATCCTGGGCCGTTGATCAGGTGATGGAGTTGTACAAGCCAATGCAATCTGAAGTAGGCCCACCATCTCCTCCTCGATATCCTTGTACCTCATAAGCTCCAAATCAAACACCTCAGCCGTCCACTCCTCTCTCACCACAGATTGGACCCATCTTGGCAAGTCCACAGGCCCACCATACACATTTCCAGGCCCACCACCACAATCCAATATAGACGGGCATTTCCCGGTTAAAATCTCCAGCAGTAAAACCCCGAAGGAGTAAACGTCAGATTTTTGGGTCTGTTTTCGACCGTCAGATGTTGCCTCCGGAGCACGGTAGCCATTGGATTTTGGAGCAGAATTGATAGGAGATGCAAAGAGAGTTAGCCCAAAGTCAGAGACACGGGCATTGCCTGCCTTGTCCATAAGGATGTTTGTGGATTTGATGTTACCATGAGTGAGTTTGAGAGCTTTGCATGAGCTGTGAATAAATGCTAACCCACGGGCTGCTCCAGCTGCTATTTTGAGTCTAGTGGTCCAGTCCAGTGGGGTTCTTCCAGGTCCTCGGTTACCTGTCGGGATACATAATCAGGCATATCTTTCTTCAAAATTACAAATTTTACATTAAACAATAAGAGTTGGGTTGTTATCAGGTGCGTCACTCTCATATAGTGTCACCATCAGAGTCCCAAACAATTTGGGTCAGATAGTATCTTAAAATGGGCTCGATCTAAGCCAATGATATAACACTGACATTGGGCCATGTTTATGATGTGATTAAAGAGCCTAAATTAAGAGAAACTATTGCATCTGTTTTTTTAATTTTTTTTTTAAATGCTGGATTTCACATAATTTACGTAAGTGGGAGTAATAACGAACCTCACTCGCACGATAACTATATCCAATACTAAAGATTTATATCTAAACCATTATATTTAAATACAACGGTAAATTCAATCCAATGATCCAAATCGACATCAGCTCTGTACAGGATGCACAAAACATAACTAGAGTCAGACTCGCCCTGGAGTAAAATGGCCATAGGTCTAGCTTAGCTTTTCTTTTCCGAAGGTCTAGCCTAGCTTAGCCAGTGGGTTTACCTTTTGGTCTCATATTCGCTGGAAAAGGAAACAGACAAAAACCCAGGAAAAACAAAAAGAAGAGGCTGGATAGTGAAAACACAAATATCTGTTGCGTTGTCTTCTCCTACTATTTCCCAAATCACGATTCAGCTTAACTTTTCTGTCTAACATTTATAACTGTTCTCTTGTCTGTGGTGAATGAATTAATGTACAATGACAGTAACTATGTATGGACCCCACCCAAAACACTCCTGTCACTATCCAGTGGTGAGAGCCAGCCTTGCAACCGTTGGATCTTCTACCAAAAAGAAGAGGATTCATCAAAATTGCTCAACTCAGCTCTGGTTACAGTGCAGTGGCTGGTAGCCCTAGCACACCTGGATATGGAATCAACCAAATGACCAATTTCACCCAAAAAAAAATCTGAAAAATTCTCAGGGGCCGGGGCCCCACTAAACACAACCTATCTATAACTACTAAAAACTAATAGCCCACAAGGTGTACTCCTTCGGCTGCAAAGTGCAAACTCTCCCATCCCACTAGAAGCCATGATCCCGAAATTATTAATGCATTTTTCATTTCATAGTCCGCAATCTAAAGCAATTCTTAGAGCCCCAAATAATCACGGATGATCATCAAAAGAATCTAAAAAGAAAAGAACAGCAACTAAAGAGAGAAAATAGAGAAACCGAAACGATATTGTAATGGAAAGAGAGAAAATTGAGCGAAAATGTAATGTAACGTACCATGAAGAAGCCAAAACAAGCTGCCATTGGGCATGTATTCATAGACCAACAACTTCTCTTCTCTAGCAAAGTAATAAGCCTTGAAACTAACCAAATTAGGATGTCTCAATCTCCCTAAAACCTCCATCTGTTGCTCAAACTCTCTTTTCCCTCCAACATTAGCATCCTTGAGCCTTTTCACTGCCACCACATTCCCATCATCAAGCACTGCTTTGTATGCAGTTCCGAACCCACCTTTCCCTAACATCTCTGCTGAAGCTCTAAGCAAATCTTCAAGCTCAAACCTTTTCACTCCCTCGAAGAACACCATCCTTCCCCTCTCAAACCCCGGCTGGTTCGGGTAAGGGCTCGAGGAGTAAACAATCTTCTCGGTTTCTAACAACTTTGAGCCCTTCCCATTTCTCATTTTAGCTGCGTAGTTGCGCCAGAAGTAGCAATAGAGAAGGAGAGAGACAACAGCAAGAATTAAAACATCCCCTACTATAATGGCTATTAAGGCTAATGGGCTTATTTTGGTTGATGTTTTGTTGCTATTGTGGTTCGTATTTGTTGGCTTGTTTGGTGCTACCACTGAGCTTGGTGTTGATGACACTATACTTGTTGGGTTAGTCCCAGGCAACAATGGGGACGCAATAGCGCCATCGGATCCGGGTCTTGTCGGGTCGGAAACTACACTTTTACAAGCTTGTAATGGGGATCCACAGAGACCAGCGGGGAGGTTCTGAGCGAAAGCGGATTCGGGGAAACCGGATAAAGATTTGGGTATTTCACCTGCTACCTGGTTATGAGAAACATTAAAGTCTTGCAAGCTTGGCAAATTCAAGCTAGAAATGGACCCATTAAACTGATTCTCTTCAAGCCTTAAAGTCAACAAATGGGTCAAACGGTTGACAATTACGGGAATGTCACCGGAGAAGTTGTTGTGAGACAGATCCAAACGGTAAAGTCTGGAAAGAGAGAGGACTGAAATAGGGAAGTTACCAGAGAAGTGGTTGTGAGATAAAAAGAGAAGCTTTAACGCACTGAGGTTAGAGATGTTTTGAGGTATGGGACCTGAAAGATTGTTTCTTTTGAGGCTTAGGACACGAAGCTGAGTGAGAGACGTTAAGGGGTGCAAGGAGCTGCCTTGAAGATTGAGGTTTTCGAGGACAAGACGAGAGACTCGGTTGTTGAGACAAGAAATGCCAGTCCAGGTACATGGGTTGGTGGTGGAGTTCCAGTCTGACAGCTCGTTGGCTGTGTCTGACAAGGTTTTGAACTGCAAAAGAGGTTGTGAATCTGGGTTTGAAGAAGCTCGGAGAAAAGAAAAATGAAGAGATACTAAGAGGAAAAATGTCAAGTGTGGAAATAAAAAACAGGGTTTTGCTAATGCCATAGTTGAGGATCTGCAAGAGCAGAGAGAGTGAGAAGGAGGTGAAAGGATAAGAGGCGAGTGTGGAGAGTGAAGAGGTTTGTTTGTAAGGGAGAAAGGTGAGGGTAAGGGTGTAATTAATGGAGAAGTGAGGGGGTTACCTCGTTATATAAATGACAAGTAAATTAAATTAATTACTAATATTCTCTATCTCTACTATAGATGGATGGAACAAGCAGGGTGAACTGCAAAGCATGTAACGGATGAGCTGCGACGTTAATTTTGATCGAAAAGACTTTACTATACTTCTATTATTAACAGAGTAACGCTTTTGAATTAATTTTATTGATTATACTTTGAAACTAATCAGAAATGTTAACAAAGAGTAAATACTTAACTAGGAAATCACATTGATTTTTAAGTTGGTATGCATTATTTGGTAAGATTGAGATTTTACGTTGCATATAAATAGACTATATTATAACTTCTACATTCACATATTTGAAAAAACTTGTATTATTTGATATTGAAATCTTAGTTTAAAATACCTCAATTAAACATAAATATATGGTTTTGCCAAGAAAAACCGATGACAGAAACTAAATGTTAGACTTGAGATTAAATTCTTATTTCTTCCATCTAAACCAATATTTGAGGGACGATGGAGCTGATAAACAATACCCAATCATGGTAAACGGTCCTTTGGTTTGTTTTGTTTTGTTATGATTAATCGTATCGTCCGTAATCCGTACTTACAAGATATCCTGACACGCATGCATGCCTTTCTTCTTTTTAGTCTTTACTGGAGTAAGTTGCAGCAGAATGATCGTATGAGCTTATTCAAGGTTCCATTTTTTAACTAGCTAGTAGAATTAACTGTGCACTTTTTTTACTGAACCGGGAAGTTGTCCTGGTTATCCAGTAAGTAAATTACCAATTTGCTGTGGAGATACACAGCTTCTGATAAAAGGTGTTCTTTAAGATGAACGTGGGTCTTCTTTTTACGTTATGAGATTATCGAAGAAAGTTAGGGTTAAGATGGTAATTTACTTCATTAGGATTCAAAAAAGGGCAAAGCCACCAGCGGCTCGAATAAAGAGTATCCCTTCGGCCTTGGTTTTCGAATTTGTTGCAATTTTAAGCTTTTGCTTTTGCTTTCATCTTTATTTTTGCCAAAAACCAGTCTGCAGGACTGGTCATCTCTTGCTTCCTGCCTTGCTTGTAGACCAAGGGTTTCTACTTTCTAGTGTTTGTGTATATATATATATATATTCATATGTCCTGTCACGCGCTTCGATAGCCACTGACCGTTTTTCATGTCAATGAAATAGCACAATCATGCAATATTAGTATCAAAAACTAGTAAAATTCTTTAAATATTCCTTCCATTATCAATTCACCAATAAATTATTTTTCTGATTATTTGTCAACCACACTAAATTCCTAAAAATATTTATACTGAATCCAGCTTCTGATATTAGAATACCCAATAAAAAAAACAAAATACATATATTGGATACTAGCATTTCTTTGCACTTTGCGCAAAGTAATATTTTAGAATTTTATTATATGTGTAAATTAATTGGGGGCGATATAGACTAGTTTCTTTGCACCTTGCATAAAGTATTCATGAATTCATTCATTCATCGAATATTTAATGCACGTACAGTTTGTGGATAGCTTTATTTTTTATGTCTCCAATGTGGAATGCAATTGATTCCTAGCCAAATAGCTTTCGTTTTCCGATGCAATCGAGTATAAGAAAATCGAAAGGAGAATTTTGACTTCGGGTTGGGGATGGAGCCTTCTACTCCAACTCAAATTTGCGTGGTAGGACACAGCCATAGCGTGCCCAGTGCCCTTCTAAAAGTAGCAGTGATAATTGATGAAGAGCGTCAAAGGCGTTTAAGGGACACTGTGAATTAGGCTGTAAAGTCGTTAATGAGATTATAATCTTTGGTCAAATTGGTAGTAACACTCTTCTTCTTGTCCAATATTTAAGACAATGTTGCAACTCCATTCCAGACAAGTGGATCACGTGCAGGAAATTTGCTAAGGAATTATTTGGCATCGTCTTTGGTTTTTAATTTTTTTCCTTTTCAAACATTTTAAAACAAAAACGAAAAATAATTATTTGCTTAAAACCGACAATCAAATTGCCAAAATTTTTGAAAGCTAAATAAATTGGCTTTCAAAATATGTAATAGTGATTTTAGTTTTTCCTTTTAAAAAATAATTTTAAATAAACAAACTTTTTATTTCTCTAACAAATTTTTATTTATTTTTTTATTTTTATTTTTTTTTTGAGAAAAAAGAGGAGGACTCCAAAGTTGGGCTTGCTGAATGAGAAAATATAGCACAAAGTTGGGCTCAGCCATAAACAGTGTTGGGGTTCAAAATTTGAGCTCCACCTAAGCCGAGTTTCACAAAAATACTCACAGGTTTTGGTCGGGCCTTGAATTTTGGGTTTGTTTGGACCTATTGGCCTTTTCTAGTCACGGTGTAGATTTTCTTTTGCTTCTGGTGAGCTAAACTTAATGGTGGGCTTTTGCCCAGTTAAGCCTATGAACCCATTCTCCTTGTCCGAAAGCAGCATTTCGGCTGTGAGATCAGACTTGATAGATAGAGAAGCATAAGTTTTATTTTATTTATTTATTTTTTTTTGGGGAAAGATCTCTAAGCATCGTTTGCTTAAAGTTCATGATTTTATCCAAGCATGCGCGTCAATTATTTTGCAAAATATGTATGTTTCTTAGGTCTTAATAGTATTTTCGAAACAGTTCTTGAAAATCAAGACTATATCTCTATTCAATCTGATTTATGCGCACCATTTACATCCAGAGTGGTGCATTCACAAAAAAGTTTCAGATCCTGAAAAACAGACATGGACATAATAGCACAGTGGGAGTCACTTGATCGTAAGGTGATGCTTTGTGATACTCGAAGGAATTGGCACTTCTAGAGTCCCAGTGTAGACGAGGAGGACTAAGTGAACTGGTGATCTTGGAGGGTGATGACAAGAAGAATTTGGGTGGAACTTGTAAGGACCCAACACCCAAGGCTCCCTTCCAGCATTTCCACCACCTTGCTCATCGGTGGTTTGTTTGATGGGTCGGTCTGTATGCAACACGAGCCCTTGCATTTCAAGTTCTTTATCTAGTTCAAGACGTTTATAAATTATCCTTGCGGGAATTATATTTCACTCCTAAGGCTAGCTCTAATTTTAGATATTTCTACAGCCACCAGTCATTTCTAGGTTCATCATTCCATAGCTAAACACATCAGACAAGGGTGAGACTCTTCCAACACTTTTGAAAAATGCTTCTTTAAGAAAGCCTCAATATTTATAATCATCCTTTCAGTATGTAGAAATGGTAGCTTATGTTAGGGCCAGAACCAGTTTCTAGGCTGACAAGCTTCATAGGCAATCTCGCAAGCTTCAGCTTTCCAGTATAGTTCTTCGCTCGGTATCGAATTTAGAGAGAAAGGTGATGCCCGCGATGTTATGGGAAAGAAGGAGAGTTTTCGAAAGGTGGGTCTGCCGATAAAATTGAGTCTACTAAGATGGTGAAAATGAGGACAATAAATCCTTACATGTAAGGGTATTTTGAGGTTTAACAAGTTCTGGACACTCGTTGAGAATATAGGATGGAAGAAACAGACACAAAAACAGGAATTTAAAGTTCTATACACAACATGGGACAAATATAGTTAACTCCAAAAAAGGGACATAACCTAGTAATTTTGAGAGTCAATTGTATTATATTTACTTGATTTTCGGAGATTATTAGGTGTCTTCCTTTAATATAGATCATCAAGGATCGACATGGAAGGTAAAATGTCATCTCTTAATAAAGAATGGTCAAAATTTGGTTTGTAGGATATGAACTTTGATTGCAGATAACTTTCATGTGAAGATGAATGATGGCGATTCAGATTATTCTCAGTGGAAGATAAGTAATGCAAGCTGCAGCTAGTATTAATATATGCATTTGAATTTTGATGTAAAAAAGTATAAAAAATTTCTTGCAAATTAGAGTGCGGCCTTAATTGGCTTCACCACATAATTATGACATATATTATCTCATGAAGTGTTGCACATGAGGTACGAAATATACGGTCAAATTTTTTTTTTTTTTTAGTTCTAAAGTATTATGTGATATATCTACGTGATCATAATCGTGATACATGTCCTTTCACTTTACTTAAAAGATCATCTTATTAAGAATTTATTATAAATAGAATAATCTCGATTAGCAACCAATAATATTACAATCGGATAAAATCTGAATAATCAATACAAACGAATGACTCGAATAAAAAAGTTATCCTTAAAAAAAACATACATTTGAAAAAAATATATAACTTTCTAAAACGTTTTTGTCATACTATTACCAAATATGACTGCATATGCATCGATAAATAACAGCTATTACCTAAATCCTAAACTTTCAAGTGTATATAAGAGACTTTAAACACATAAAATAGATCAAACTACCATCAACTTCATATAAGTTGATCAAATGCTCCCCAATATAAAGATTAATACAACAAATGTTATAATTTCTGCTTTCTAAACTCAAAATAGATAAATCATCAAATATCTTCTACATTTATGAGATTATTTTCATAAAACCTATTTAGACCAAACACCTCCGGAAACTAACTTAACCTTAAAAAGTCTCGTAAACACTAAAAAAATACTTGTTTTATAAATACTCCCTATCGAAACAATATACAACAAACTATACCAATTTTATGATAAGTCTGGACTAAAAATCATCTCTTCATTAATCTTAATGCGAGAAATGAGGATCGCCACCTCATTGCTAATAAGAGGTGAATTCGAGTTGAAAAGGTCTTCCTGCACCAGAAAATACAGTCAACGTTCTTCTATATGAAAAGATTAATCAATGGCCAGCTGCTCTTTCTTCTACGTATAGGGTGGATCTCATCTATTTTGACCAGTTTGATCAATCTGCAGTCCTGCCCTTAACTTTGACCATCATAACTAGCCTATTTATGATGCATTACCAGAAATGAAAAGTGTTAAAAATATAACCAGTAGGTCTCGTACCTGTTCTTGTCACGACACATTCAAATATCCCCTCGCTGGTCCAGTGAAGAGGCAAGCGGTTAAAGAGTAGCAACATCGTTAAGAACATGACCAAGTCTCCTTTCTAGTCAATAGTAACCAGAATCATCGAACTGTCCAATGTAACAGTCGTTGTGACCCTGGTTAATGTCTTGTCCCCTGGAAGACTTGTGGAAACTAGTTGAACTTGGGGGACCATTAATACGATAACCACCCCTACCGTTTCAAAAGAGGAAGGAAGTTCCCCTCATTAATTTGCAAAGAAAATTGCGAAGACTAGATGAACCATTCAAAGGTTCTGTGAAAGTCTTGAGCTTGTTAGAGGCATTAAAATAATGGCAGGATGTGAGAAATTTTTATCTATAGAAATTTGATGGAGATGGGGTTCCACTTCTTCCAATGTGGGAACCAAACCGATTTGTTCAGCTATCTTCCTCCATCCTTGTTGTTGTTCAAGTACAAACTGGGCTTTAAAATTTAGGTTTATATATTCTAACCCGGATCAGCAAATTTAGACCATACAGGCATTTCTCATCCATTTGCTAAAAAAGAATTAGGCCAGTGTTTCACAAATGAATTGACAACAAAGAAACTGTCATATAATCCATTTCTTCTCCCACATTTCGATTTGGACATGGTTCAAATGATGAACGAGGGCAACGTCAATTAACCCAAAATCAGTCTGCTGCCATCTTCAATCGTCAGCCAACCAAACTACCAAGAATGACTTCCAACTTTTAGTCCAGCATCCTTTTGTTAACACGAAAGCTTGATAGAAGGTTTTGATAGAAGGTTGAATACCCTTAATACAGCACTACGATGATAGCATTGCAAACCTAAAAACGAATCCAACTCTTCAACTTTATCAAATTTCAGCAAATACTGGCATACTAACGACACTTTTGAAACTCCAGGCAGGTGCTCCTTAAACCAACTAAGGCTCATTTTACATTATGGGCATATATTAAATATACATTTGCCTAAGCTTCAAACAATTGCCGGCTCAAGGTAAATGTCGTTCACAAAAAAATCAGGGGAGAAAGAATGAGGGGAACAGTACAGAGTTAAGCCACTTTAACTCCACTTGGGCGTTTTCCTTCCATGGCATCCTTCTTATTACGGCAATCAGCACAAAGGAAAGGCCCTTGCCAAGGCTTTGAGCTGGTGGAGAAGATAGAGCCAGCATGAACAGAGATGCCCTCGCTTGGAGCAAGGTCAATTTGACAGACAACACACGTAAAAAGACCAGATGTTGATTGCGATGTGGAATCATCATTCCCTAATCTGCAGGACAAATTAAAAACAACGAGTTAGAGGTAAATAGGTACAGTAAAAAATTCCCATTCCTGAGTTTGCAGGACACAAAGTTTGGACAGCCAGACAAGTAACAAGCTCCCACGTTATAAGAATGTATTGTAAGAAATAGACCAATGTGAGAATATGCATGCCAAAATGACAATACTAACCTTTCAGCTAGCATAGCTGAGCCTTCTTCAAAAATTTCTTCCACTATACCTATGGTAGAAAGCTTCTTCGATAGCTTGCTGGCAGAATCACAGGACTTCTTCCTAAACAACAAGGCTCTTAGCTTGTTCTGTTTCTTGAGAGGAGTTGAAGGAGGAATTGAATTGTCAGGAGGAATTATGTCAACAACTATGCAGGTGGTATCATCCTTTAGCCCCCTTGTCCTTAATGCTTCCTACAGAAGAATATTTAAAATGAAGAAAACAATATGGGCATTTATTATAATACAAGCATCCATTAGAGCAAGATACTACTTCAGTGCAACTTTGCCCATAATATTAGCACATACATTATTTTAGAACTTTATTGGAAACTTGAGGGGCATGCTAATCAAAACAAGACTTGCAAAGGAGAAGTGCCACAGAGAAAAAATTTAATTACCTTCACAACCTGTCTGGCAGCAAGTTCAGCTGGTAATCCACAGCAAGATTTTGCTGCCATTTCTGAGGATAGGGCATCCCATATGCCATCAGAAGCAATTATAAGCCTTCCACCTGCATTTGATAGCTTTATATGGAATGGAGCAAGTTAGAGTCCATGCTGCCAGACAGCACTGGCATCCAGTATTAATAACAGGCTTTGCACTCGAAGAAAGAAATAATAGAAAGAGTGCAATAAATTCAACAAGCAAAAAGTACATAATATGAGTAAAAGGAAAATGATTTTTACTTTCACTTGCTTGACAAATGGAACAGGAACTATAAACTCTCCAACATCCATGTCTCCAATCGACCTAGAAAGACATAAACCTCCAGGCCAACAGCGAAGTGGACCGATCTGTAAAGTATTAAGGTTTAGCCAAACATATATGCCAATTTACCAAAATTATCAACACTTGAAAGAACATTCATTTTAATGACAATCAGTGAGACTTTAATAATTGTAATCAGAAAACTGTGCAAGATCTAAAAGCACCTCAACACCACCAACAATGCTAAGCCTTCCAACTTCCCCACCACTTGCAGTCACCCTTTTCCTCCTGCAGATATTGTAGAATAGATTATACTACTGTCCAATATTTAAGAATGAATAAGGTCTTGAGAATAGACACGTACTCCTCCATATTCTCTTCAAGCCTATGATCAACAGTTAAGGAGGAAACAGCACCTCCCTGAGCATCTAAAATACAGCGCGAGTCTCCAACAGAAGCAACGGTAACAGTCCATCTATCAACTATTACAAATGTTGCTGTAGTGCCCGATGTTTCTCCTGAAGAAACACATGACATACATTGAAACAGAAATTATCAGTGTTAGCTAGATGCACAACAATAGGGGACAATGGCAAACTAAAAAGGATAAAAAATTCATGCCTCTGCTCTGGAACTCCTTATCAGTCTTCACAAATCCAGCAACCAAAGCCCGAGGTAAGGCTTGAAGCCACTCCTCCCTTCCAAGACCATTAGGAATAGCACCCAGAATATGATTCAACAAATTTTCCCTCGTATAAATTGCTGCAGCATTTCCATTGTGCCCATCGAAGACCTGACAGTCAGGAGAGAACAGTGACCATCTTATATAGAACAAGGAAAATACAGCATAAGAAAATACATTCAGGTCTACGACTTCCTCTATAATCAATACAAAGCAAGGTTATATTTATTTGTAGAATTCCTGCTACTTTTCTTGTTTCTCAACTCTATTCAAGGAGGTCAATCAAACCCATGTAATTTTTCACCTCACATATATTACTATAACGGAGACTGGAAAGGGGAAAATTGTTGAGTTTGAAGTAACTATTGCCTTTAGTCAACAACAGAATAAAATTCTTCAGAAAAAACAAATCGTCAATCAAATGGATCAAATAACAAATGAAAAACCCAACTCCAAAACTTCTCGTAAAGTTGGTTTTATAAAAAGAAAATAAATCTGCAAAGTGGACATCATAGAAATATATCACCCGACTTAAGGTTTGGTGCACCATGTGCTCAACGATGCCAAAGAAACTGCATTCACCAGAGATTATAGGCATAACTGGAATTGAAAGAGTAAGAATTACCGCAAATACAGAAAATATGGATGACGAATTCCCTGGTACCCGCTGACAATCCATCTTAATCAGGAAATAATCCTCCCCTTTCCTAGACTGGGCTGCGTCACCATATCTGACAGTTGGCTTCTCCATCTTCTCAATCCTCATTTCTCTGCTGATCAAAGTAGCAAGAGGCACAAGATTACCACGTCGACGCCTCCCTTCTCGAGAAGCCATTATCTTCCACTCCAATAACTTAGCCTCTGGAGTCTGGACCTCAGACCTTCAAGTTACTAATTTCTTTTGCCTCAAAAGCATGTCATACCCAACACACCAAGTGCTTGTGGTTATATCCTGTCCAACTCAACTTAAACAAATTTCCTTGATATCGATGGTTACCCGCCAACCCAGTACAAGTGAAAATTTCAAAACTCTAACACTGAAATTTAATAACTTTCAATCAATCACCAACTTTTGTGACTTGATCTGCAGTATCAGTCATAGAATAAAAGCAAGATTTAAACTTAAGATCAAGCAGAGAATAAACTAACTCTGCAGGTGGAAGCAGTTGTATTTGTGGCGATCAACCAGCATAACTCTAATAACCATAATCTACAATTAGAAGACGTAAAGCTCTACTTTAAACCTTAAATAGTAAAAACAGCTATACACCAAAAGAGAGCCTAACTAAAACTGTAAGTAACATTAGATTCATAATCTGTTAAAACATAAGTTACCAACTTTAGTAAGAGAATGTGAAATACCGGGCAGAAGCAAGAATGTCTGGTTTTGTGTTTCTTAGCAGAGACAAAAAAGCAGATCTGATCAAGACACTAAGTAAGTGAACCACCGCCACAAATTACAAGGATACGGAACGCGTTTTGCTGATAAAAAATGAACTGGAATACCATTAATCTAAAAACCCAAAAATCCTTCAATTAAAAAAACAAAATCCGTGTCATAGATATAGAAATAAACAAATTAAAAGGTGAAAGATTCAATTTTTTTTTTTTTAATACTAGGTCAGCTTCTATACATGTTCCTCAACCAAACAGAGGTAACTGTATATTAAAAAAAAAAAAAAAAAAAAAAAAAAAAAAACTACTTCCTCACCGAAAAATAACAAAGAAAACAAAAGGGATTGCTTAAAAAGACAACCTTTTCAATTAGAGGAGGAAAAGGGAGAAGCTTTGCTGACTCTACAAAGCAACCTCTTCACATACCCACATTTCTCTCTGTTAAGAAAAACCTCTCCTTTATTTGTTCCATACTTCCATCCCAGCTTTTCTTTTAGAATTTCTTTTCTTTGGAACCAAAAAAAAAAAAAAAAAAAAGTTGGAAAGCCAGAATTACAGCCATAAAAGCAAAACACAAACCCAATTTAGGTAAATAAGTGTAATAAAATTAGTAGCAACCACTAGCAAGTAAGGACTATGTTTTTGTTTACCTAACCAAAGATGACACCTTGGGCTTGGAGGTGGGTGAATAACAGTGAAACTATAAAAAAATTACAGGTGGAAATGCAGGTGGGTCGCTGTAAAATGAACAAAAATGGGACTAGCGTGGCAAGAAGTAAATTATTAGTTAGTCTCCTCATTCTTCATAAACAAATTAATTACTTCTTATTGTTTCAAAAATTAATTATTTAATTTTTTTCAATTTTTATTTTTTAACTAATAATTAGATACGATGTGAAGATATATGAAGAAAAAAAACTTAAAAAATTAATTTTAAATAAAATAATCAATTTTTAAATAAAAACTAATTAATTTATTTTTTAAAACTAAAAAAAAGTAATTTATAATTTACTTGTGCTTCATGGAGTTGGTAGGTGAACTACAAGAAAAAAAGGATAATAGCATATGGGAGTGTTCAGTGTTACATGAAAATTCGAATAATCAAATCAAACCAAACCACGTCGAAATATCAATTTTAATTTTTTTATTTAGAAATTAAAATAAAAAATCGGACCTAAATAATTTTGATTTTCGGGTTTGGTTTCGATCATTTAAAAAAAAATCGATTATCCGAAATACCAAAATTTATATATATATATATATATATATATATATATATATATATATATATATCTTTCTTTTTTAAGTTAGATCACTCAATGCATTCCCAAATTGAAAAACCCTTCTCCCCTAGATGCGCTTCCTCTCACAGCTTTGTACGTGCTTTTTTTATCTCTACTATAAGTTTGAATGTATATAAAATAACAAAGACGTTAATAGATTTTATGTCATCTCAAATTCGAGACTTCTTGAGTAAATAATTTATTATTTGTTTATCTATTAATGCATTTGTTATTTTTTTTATGTAACTTAGTTTCCTAACTAGTAGTTCACAAAGCAATAAGAAACCATCTCTAAACATAGATTTTAGAAACTTTAATAAAATCAATCATTTCTATAAAAAAATAATAAATAAAACGAGATAAAAATCGAATTATCGAACATTGAAACTAAAATATTTTAAAATCGAATCGAAAAACCTAATAACATTTCGATTCGATTTTAATTTTTTTAAATTCAATTAATCAAAAACCGTGTAAAATATTTGAAAATCCAACAAACACACTTAATAGTAGACAGATAATTTTGTAGGGTTTTTTATTTTATTTTTTGGCGCTGAATAATGGGGAAAGCAGCTGACACATACAGTAGGAGGTTGCATGTGTTTCTGCAGTCATGGGAAACTGGCAAGGAAGTGTATGTACGTATACAGGTGGGATGGTGTACGTACGTATGTCAAATATTTTATTTTGTTTATTTAGATGGCCCCTATTGCTTGGTTTGATATTGATGAGGGACCGCTTTAAAATAAAATTTGTGTGGTCAGACTGTTCATGGAGGTCAAATCTTTGGATTAATGGACTACAGTTAGGACTACGTAAAGTTGGGGTCGGATTTGGAAACCCGACAAGAAAAAATTTCCATAATTTGTTCGACATTGTGTCAGTACAATTGATTGATATTTATCACCCGTACACGTACATGAAAATCTATATCCATTGTTAACCCCAAGACGCAGTATAATTATTACACAGAAAGTAATTTTTAAGGATCCAGAAGTAGGTGTAAAGGTTAATTTTTCCGCCTCTGCCACGTGCCAAAGGTGTCCTCATATGGTTCTTATACATCAAGACTTATTCTTTCATCCGATTAGAATCTACAAACATGATATCGAGATTCTGATTAATAAATTTGAGAATTTTTACATCCATTTAAATACTAAAATATGACTAATTCAAATATAAATAATAAAAATAAATACAACAAATAGCAACAAATATAACTTCTGAAAAATTATAAAATATTTGTCGTTAAATGTTAATCTTAATATGAGATATAATGATGAAATCTACTGATAAATTTTTTAAGTATTCAGTAAATAATTATTAATAATTATATTTAAATAAAATATGTATATTTCAATTCACAGAGGTGGAAAAAATATTTTCATCTAGGTTTTATTTTAATTATTTATCATTTTTTTTATGTCTATTGCTTTATGTAAATATTATAAGTACACTAAAATGGTCTTCGTATGTATTCTTGAAATTTTTTTCTAATTTTTCTTAATATTTTAGCATGACTTGTAATGAAAAGTTGATTCTTTATCCCTAAATATCGATTTTTCTGATTAATTTTTCAGCTCCTTACGGTGGATGGAGTCCCTCGGTCGTCAACCAAATAATTAAGGGCAACAAATTAAAATTGACAGTAGCCAGCAATTAATTGAAACATCTACAAGATAAATTAGACCGTTAATTAAGGATGGCTATTGATAGATATTCGATCTATTAATTTAATTTTTTATCCTATCTATAAAAGAATATCTTATTGCTTATTAAAAATTCGCCATATAAATTTTTATTTGGCTTATATATGATCGACATTAATTAACTCTGTCTATTTGATATCTATTTAATATTTGTTAAAAATAATTTGTCAAAATAATAAAGTAAAAAATGAGTACTTTTATCCCGAAACCATATATATATATTACCTTTTATCTACTTTAATAGCCATTATATATTTTAATGAATATTTATTATATCGAATAAAATAGATATCTATTTTATACTCAACTAATTACCATCTGTATAGTCAATAACGAAAACACTTGGTTCTAAGCAACAAACCAGAATTAATTAAATCATTGAGTAAATTATATTTAGTCCTTTTTTTTATCATTTTGTAAGGTAGTTCTTGAGATATTTAGAGTCATTTAACGAATTTGACTGTTAATTATTTCAAAAATCTCTAAACTAAATTTTTAAATGTATTTTAAATTTTGTGTTGAGTGAGTAACATTGAAAAATTTGTTTAGAATGAAGGATGTTAAAAAAATGTCATGAAAAAACAATAAAAAGACTAAGTTACATGTAAAAAATTCAAATATAGAGACTTAATACTTGAGGTTTTTTAAGCCAAAAAGATTAATTAATTGTTACTAATGCTCTAAAACACAAGTCATTTTTACTGTTTACTTCCACTGTTCCTTTCACTATTCAATGAACAGTGTTTCCCAGTTTGGTTTCTTTTTATCTTTTTTTCCTAGGTTGAACCCAACAGCCAAGGCCTAACACCTCCTTTTTTTTTTTTTTTTCCGGTTTGGTTGTTGTAGCCAGGCTTTTTTTTTTTGTTTCTCCCTTTCTCTTGCTGCATTTTTTTAAGCCCCTCTTTTGGCTTTAAACAAATTTTACATTTTAGTCCCTATTTTGTAATTTTTTTAATTTTGGTCATTAAAATTTTATTATATTTTATTTTTGTTCCTATAATAAATCAGTTTTTGTTCTCTCTTGCTGCATTTTTGAAGCTCCTCTTTTGCCTTTTAGTGAATTTTATTTTTATTTTAGTTCCTATTTTATAGCTTTTTTTATTTTGATTATTAAAATTTTATTATATTTAAATTTTTTTCCTATAATAAATATTTAAATTTTATTTTAAAATTTTTTTATTTTAATCTTTAAAATTTTATTATATTTGATTTTTATCCTTATAATAAATCAAAATAAATTTTCTCTTCTAGCATTTTTTTAAGCGCCTCCTTTGGCTTTTGGCAAATTTTATTTTAATTTTAGTCCCTGTTTTGTAACCTTTTATTATTTTAGTCATTTAAATTTTATTATATTTGATTTTTTTCCTCTAATAAATATTAAAATTTATTATATTTGATTTTGTCTCCTTATAATAAATATTTTTCTTGGCTTTTAGTAAAGCTGTTAA